GCAGGAAACGGGGTGGTTCTAGGAAAGCATCACAGGCTGAGGGTGGTTGGAGATTAACGCAAACTAAAATCCCACTGGCTCTCCAGTGCCTTTGAGAGCTGAGGAGCGGGGCTTCGGCCTCGAAGGTGCACATGCCACAGCCTCTCCATCGGTCTGCTTGGAGCTGGGCTCTCTACCCTAGGACAGTGTTTTCAAATGTTTTTCTGACTGTGACCTCAAATAAGAACATTTTACATTGTGAACCAGCATCTGTGTATACATACACACCCACATCTGAGATTATGAAAGAATATTTCATACTAGGCACAGAGCATTCTGGTATTCTAGCTCCGTTTCATTTTTTAAATAATGCTGGTTGCAACCCACCAAACCAATTTTATGATCCACTAACAAATTCTGAAGCGAAATTTAAAAAACGCTGTTCTGGGAGCCACGGTCAGGGAGGTAGCTGTACCTTGATCTATTGTTTTTGGCTGTGAAATTCTTCTCCCCAGTCATGAAGAAAGGACTGTAGTTAATGAGCAACTACCCCTTGAGCTGAGGGTCTGGCTCATGGTGAGGCTGCTCCGTGGATCTCAGGGCCCACAATGGTAGCATGAACTCCTGTGGTCTCTGTCCTCATGGGGCCCCGGCTTTGTGTCATGGGAATCCCATGCAGGTCTGAGCCTCACACACTGCTGGGCTGTCTCAGGCCAGGCCTGGGGTAGATAGCAAATCCCAGAGCACCTGGGGGTCTGGATTCAGAGACACAGGGCCCTCTGTTCTCAGCTCAGTTACATCAGTACTCTGAGGCAGTCAGGGACCTTTCTGTCCAGTTAACTGCTGTTTCCCTAGCACTTAACCCAGTGGTGTGTAACCATTGTCACTAATGGGACACACACACTCCCCCACCCCCGAATATGCTACAGGCCCAGTCCTACCTCGGGGCTGTGTGTCCCGTAGGAGGCACAAGAAATGAAATGGGGCTCAACATTGCAGCAAAGCAGACCACATGCCTTCCTTCTGCTAGCATAACAGAAACAGGAAGTCGAAAAAGAGTACAATCAGCTCAAGTACAGCCTGGAAGCCCAGAGAAGGAAAAGGACATGCTTCAAACTCCGGGCCAGCATGGCCATCTCTCAGGCTCATAAGTCCCAGAGTGATTAACTTTCAGTGGGAATCCCTTTCCCAGTCTGTCTGCCCCCGTGCAACCCAGGACAGTAGGCAGGACAGGGGGGCTGGGAAGGAGAGCCCTGACTATGGAGTCGTAGTCTGGGCTGAATTCCAGCTTCTCCTCTTAGGTGTGACCTTGGTCTGGGCCTCAGTTTCTACATGTGTGAAATGGAGACAATACTACCTACATTACAGATTGTTGGAAAGATGGGAAATAAATGGACATTGCCCTGCCCTGTGCATGGCACATAGTAAATGGTGCTGAGTAAATAATCATTGTTGTTGTTATCATTACAAGTGGTAGATCGGTCTTACCAAATCTCCATTATGCCACTGTTCTTCTGTAATGCATCTGCCAACTGGGCAATCCCCTTAGCTGTAATCTGGTTCTGGATAAGCCTGAAAGAAGAATATATCTTTTGTATCAAGTAATACTGGATTAAATCTGCCCACTTCATTAGGGGGTTGGAAGGATATGATGGGATAAGAGACAGGGTCAGGGGAAGAACTGAGTCCCCTTAACTTTCAATCTTGCTGAGATTGTGTCGATCAGATCCATGAGAATAAAGAACATGCTTTAAAATGTTTAATTTTTCTGATGGGCAGAAGACCTAAATAGACATTTCTCCAAAGAAGACATACAGATGGCCAATAGGCACATGAAAAGATGCTCATCATCGCTAATAATTAGAGAAATGCAAATTACAACAACAATGAGGTATCACCTCACACCAGTCAGAATGGCCATCATCAAAATGTCTACAGACAGGGCTTCCCTGGTGGCGCAGTGGTTGAGAATCTGCCTGCCAATGCAGACGACACAGGTTCGAGCCCTGGTCTGGGAAGATCCCACATGCCATGGAGCAACTGGGCCCGTGAGCCACAATTACTGAGCCTGCGCGTCTGGACCCTGTGCTCCGCAACAACAGAGGCCGCGATAGTGAGAGGCCTGCGCACCGCGATGAAGAGTGACCCCCACTTGCCACAACTAGAGAAAGCCCATGCACAGAAATGAAGACCCAACACAGCCATAAATAAATAAATAAATACATTGTGTATTATTTAAAAAAAAAACAAAATGTCTACAGACAATAAATGCTGGAGACAGTGTAGAGAAAAGGAAACCCTCCTACACTGTCGGCGGGAATGTAAATTGGTACAGCCACTATGGAGAACCGTATGGATATTCCTTAAAAAACTAAAAACAGAGCTACCACATGATCCAGCAATCCCACTCCTGGGCATATATCCAGAGAAAACCATAATTCAAAAGGATACATGCACCCCAATATTCACAGCAGCACTGTTTACAATAGCCAAGACATGGAAGCAACCTAAATGTCCATCGACAGATGAATGGATAAAGAAGCTATGGTATATATATACAATGGATTACTAGCCATAAAAAAGAATGAAATCATGCCATTTGCAGCAACATGGATGGACCCAGACATTATCATACTAAGCAAATTAAGTCATTAAGAGATAGACAAATACCATATGATATCACTTATATGTGAAATCTGAAATATGACACAAATGAACATATCTACGAAACAAAAACAGACTCACAAATAGAACAGACTTGTGGTTGCCAAGGGGGAGGGAAGGTTTGGGATTAGCAGATGCAAATTATTATATATAGGATAAACAACAAGGTCCTACTGTATAGCACAGGGGACTGTATTCAAAATCCTCTGATAAACCATAATGGAAAAGAATATATATAACTGAGTTACTTTCCTGTACAGCAGAAATTAAATACAACACTGTAAATCAACTATACTTAAGGAAAATTTTTTTAAATGTTTAACTTTTCTGTGTATTTTTATAGTGAGCATAATATATCTGTATATTCATAGGTAGGTAATTTAATACATGAACATATATGTATGCATGTGTGCTTGACATTTTTCACTGCAGGGGTGCCCAATCAAAAATGTTTGGAGACTACCAGTCTGAACAACAAATTCTAAGGAACACATCTGGGGAACAGGCAGTCTGATGTCTCCTTCCAGATGGCTGGAGAAAGGCAAGGCAGTTTTTAAAGTTAAGTATTTTTTAAAGAGCTGGCCATTCTCTTCTTTGGGGGAAACAAAGACTTCCAAGATGGTACCATGTCCTCTCCAACATCTGAGAGGGAGGGAGGAAGAACAGTTCTGCTGCTACTCATGGGTCCCAGTGGAAAAGCATCAATAATGGGGCCTCTAAGAGTATACCCCATTATGTTGGGTGGCACTGATTCTAATGAAACAAAGATTTCAGATATAGCTGGGAAGCCTGGGCAATTCCCAAATTGCTCCGCTGGGAAGCCATGCGTCTAACCCACCCAGGAAAGAGCAGCCCAAGTCAGTGATACGTCTGTGCTTCATCACAGGTTCACTCCTCACCCCCCAGCTATTTGTAGCATAAGGCTACTACTGAACTTGACCTTTAGAAATTCTGGGCACTGATCCAAGAAGGTAGCTGTGTACCAGGAAGATAATGACCTATATTACTGTGACTCATGAGATTATAGAAATTAAGCCAGTCCCTTAAGGAGGCAGTATAGCATCGTGGTTAAAAGCTCTCCTCATATACATACACGCACTCCCCACTTCTCAGCTGCAGATCCTTGAAGAAATAAACTTAAGCTTTCTATTCCTCGGCTGCCTGATCTATAAAATGGGAATAACTATAAGAGAACCCCGCTACCCTGGCTGTGTGAGATTTCAATAGGAGGATGTGTGTGCAGTAGTCCTCATCATTTCTACCATGGCGCCCAGGGGAAGGGAGCTCTTGTCACCATTCCTGCCCACACACACAGGACTCGGTGGCTGTGCTGCAGCCAGGACCCAGTGATCCCCACCACATTTCTCAAAGACTGGGGCCCCTGGGCCAAGTGGCAGAGGTGAGACCTTCTGGTAAGCACAACCACAGTGTGACTTGGACATTTTTGCAAAAGCAGCAAAAATAGAACCTGGAAGTGGGCACTGAGTTCTGCATTCAGTTAAATTCTGCTGTTTCCTAATCACCCCTTCCACAGTTGGCAACCACTGGCACCACCTACACCTTGCTGGGGGGAGGGTGAGCTGCCTGAAGCCTAGACCTGGCAAGAGGCTGGGTAGGAGGAGAAGTAAAAAGCCTGGCAGTGCTCAGGTACATATGCCCACTGGCTACCTTCACTGCAGCCAGTGTAGTCTGTACTGGTACCAAGAGCTAAGACTCACTCTCTAGCCCTGTTCTAGCTCTGTTCTCGTGGAGGGGCTGGCCTGACACCTAGGGAAGGGCATAAAAGAACGTCTACAGGTCAGAAAGAAAAGGAATAAAACAAAAAGAAACAGATGTAAAAGCACACTCTGGGTTTTTTTTGTTTTTACAGAAATTGACATGGTGATCTAAAATTCCACATGGAAATGCAAGGGACTCAAAATAGTCAAAACAATATTGAGAAAGAAGAACAAAGTTGGAAGACCCACATTTCCTGGTTTCAAAGCTTATTACAAAGTTACAGTAATCAGGACAGTGTGGTCCTGGCATGATGATAAACATATGGCTCAATGAACTAGAATAGAAGGTCCAGAAATAAACTCACACATTTATGGTCAACTGATTTTTGACAAAAGCGTCAGGGCCATTCACAATGGAAAGAGACTTTTCAATACATGGTGCTGGGCACCTGGATATCTACATGCAATAATATGAAGCTGGACCCCTAATACCTCATACCATACACAGAAATGAACTCCAAATGGATCAAAGACCTAAATGTAAGAGCAAAACTATAACACTTAAAGGAAATCTTTGGGACCTTGGATTAGCCAATGATTTCTTACTGAGATACCTAAAGCACAGGCAACTAAACAAAAAATAGATAAATTGGACTTTATCAAGATTAAATACTTTGGTGCTTCAAAGGTCACTCTCAAGGAAGTGAAAAACCTCACAGAAAGAGAGGAAATATTTGCAAGTCATGTATCTAGTAAATGTCTAGCACCCAGAATATATAAAGAACTCTAACAACTCAGCAATTAAAAGGCATATAACGGGCTTCCCTGGTGGCGCAGTGGTTGAGAGTCCGCCTGCCGGTGCAGGGGACACGCGTTCGTGCCCCGGTCTGGGAAGATCCCACATGCTGTGGAGCCTGCGCGTCCGGAGCCTGTGCTCCGCAACGGGAGAGACCCCAACAGTGAGAGGCCCGCGGAACGCCAAAAAAAAAAAAAAAAAAAAAAAAAAAAAAAAAAAAAAAAAAGGCATATAACCCAATTTACAAATGGACAAAGGATGTGGAGACAGTTCTCTAAAGAAGGTACACAAATGGCCAATATGCACATGAAAAGACACCCAACACTGTCAGCAGTCAGGGAAATGCAAATCAAAACCATGATGAGGGCTCCCCTGGTGGCGCAGTGGCTGAGTCCGCCTGCCGATGCAGGGGACACGGGTTCGTGCCCCAGTCTGGGAAGATCCCTCATGCCGCGGAGCGGCTGGGCCCGTGAGCCATGGCCGCTGAGCCTGCGCGTCCGGAGCCTGTGCTCCGCAACGGGAGAGACCCCAACAGTGAGAGGCCCGCGTACCGCAAAAAAAAAAAAAACATGATGAGATACCACTTCACACCCACTAGGATGGCATTACCCAAAAAGATAGACAATAACAAGTGTTGGTGAGGACATGGAGAAATGGGGACCTTCATACATGACTGGTGGAAATGTAAATAGCACAACCACTTTGAGAAACAGTTTGGCATTTAACACGGAGTGACCATATGACCCAGCAATTCTATTCCTAAGTATATACCCAAGAGAAATGAAAACATATGTTCACATACAAACACGTGTGTGAATGTTCACAGTAGCATTATTCATAATAGTCATAAAGTAGAAACAACCCAAATGTCTACCAACTGAAGAATGGACAAACAAAACATGGACTGTCCATACAATGGAAATATCATTCAGCCATAAAAAGCAATGGAGTACTGATAGATGCTACAATGTAGGTGAACCTTGAAAACTTTTGCTAGTGAAGGAACATAGAAACAAAAGGTCATATATTGTATGACTGCATTTCTATGAAATGCCCAGAATAGGCAAATCCATAGAGACTGGAAGTAGATTAGCAGGTGCCAGGGACTAAGGGAGAAGGATGGGGAGTGATAACGTGTACAGGGTTCTGGCGGGTAGGGGAGGTGGGTCGTTTTGTAAAATGTTCTAGAATTAGATAGTGGTGATGGTTGCACAACCTTATAAATATGCTAAAAACCACTGAACTGTACACTTCAAAAGTGTGACTTTACGATACGTGAATCTCAAAAAGTATTTCAAAAGATATATCTCAAAAAATATTTTTTTTAAAAAAGCACAATGTTGAAATCTGAATTACCATAAATGTTTCAACGTCTGGTTGACTTTCAACATCTCTGCCAAGCTCTCTGCCACTTCATCGTCAAGTTCATTTTTGGTGAGCCTGGAAAAGAAAGGAAGTGTCAACTCAGGGCAGCGCTACCTGGCACCCACTCTCCACTGAGTTCACAGAAGCAGGATCCCAGCCCCGGCATCTGCAGTTTATGCAGCTCATCACTTGCTGAGAACCCAGCAAACAGCCAGGCTCCAAGCCAGCCTCTGAGCCCCACAGACAATAAACGGAGGTTCATTTCTAGTGCAAACCCTTCACCCAAGCTCCTACTTCTTAGCCCTGCTGCTGTGGGGGGAGCCCATACTCCCTCCCCATCCTGGCTGAGCCCTCAGCTCTCTCAGAAGACGGGCCCATAGAAAGCAAGGGGCCAGTGCCTGCTTCTTCAGCCTCCTCCAGCTGTTAAGATCCCTTGAACACCACGGACAGTATGTTACTAAACTCAGTCCGATGAAGACCTAGAAAAGCCTACCAACTGCGCGTGAAAATGTGTTCATCGCTTTGCTCCGAGGCCACTTAAGGACCCAAGTTCTGTGACTGAAAGTTCAGGAAGTCTCTCAGTTGTTCATAAAAGCAGGAAGTGGTCTGGATAAAGCACAGAGGGCTAGAAGCTCCTGGTTGTAAAGAGGATTAAACCCTGTTGTGCCAGTGGATGAAAGAATAAATAAGGAAGAAGAAAGGAATATAAAGAACATTTAAAAAATCATTCCTTAAAGGGCAATTTGGTAGTGTCTATCCACACTTTAAATGTGTTTCACCTTGGGCCAACAATTCAACATCTAAAAATCCACCCTATAGTGTGCAAAGACATTACACACAGGTTCTATACATGCAGTATTGGTTGCAGTCTTTTTGGTCATAATGTAAGATGTGAACGAATTTCAGTATCAGTAGAGGCAGCCAGCAAAATACATTGTGAGTGTACATTCAAGGGACACTGTGCAACCTTCAGAGAGAATGAGGTAGGATGAAGAAAGAGGCAGAAGAGCATGGGGCTCAAGATGCTCTGAGCTTACTAGCAGGGCAATCACAGCACATGGTTGAACTTCTCTGGGCCTGAGTTTTCTCACCAGCAAATGTGACCAGTAATGGTACAGCCCTCATAACACAGTCGTGGGAATGAGTTAATACATGGAAAAGGCTGAGAACAATGTGTGATGTACAGTGAGTACGCACGAGATTTGGGGGATTGACATTATTATTATCCACATAGACCTATGGTTCTCAACTGGGGTGACTTCTCCTCCAGGGGACACTTGCCAATGTCTGGAGACAATTTCGATTGTCACAATTAGGGGTTACTACTGGTACCTAATGGGTAGAGGCCAGGGATTCTGCTAAACATCTTACAATGCACAGGACAGCCTCTCAACAGAAAAGAATTATTTGGAACCAAATGTCAACAGTGTTGAGATTTAGAAACCCTGACATAAAAGGACATGTCAAATACGTACAATATATGGTTGAGATATTTTTTTCGTCACTTGCTAAATGCTATTCAGTTTCATAAGAAAAGCGATATTTATTTGAATATACATTCAAATGCTAGAAATAAAAGATTATATTTAGAAAGCATGAGGGAGGCGGTTCTTTCACTTCCTACTTTCCCAACTTCAGTGTCTCATATTTTTTTCAAAAAAGCATGTATTACTTTTCAAAATCTTTTAAAAGATTTTTTGAGGGGAAAAGGAAAATGCACTTACTGGCCAGCAGGTCTAGTATCTGAATTCTCATAATGACGACATTTTCATTAACTAATTTAGCCAGTATCTCATGAGGAGGATACAGAGACATGTAATATAACTTCCTTTCCCAGAAGCAATTTATGATACAGGCAAGTAAATAAATAAAAATACGGTAAATGACCAAAAAAAGGAACAACCAAAAGAAAGAAAAAAAGCATCACTTCAGAACATACAGTTAAACTAGTGGCCCTGGAGTGCAGAGAGGGAGCGAGGGCTGTGGGCTTCCCGTAACAGGTGACAGGTGAGCTGGAGCATGAAGGCCAAGTCCTGATGTGACTACCTGGGGACAGAGGAGGCTGCACGGTGGGGGGGGGGGGG